AGATGTCGTACATGATATACAGTGTTTATCAGAAGCTGCCAAAAGCAGCAAACTTCAACACTAAATCAGCAAAAAATCTAGAAAAGAAAAGCATTAGGATGAGGATAAAGCAGCCTGCAAACACTAAAAAATTCATCGAATGTTTCAGCAGATCTTCAGTGAAAGCTAAATATTTTACAGCCCAAATTCTTCCCAGTCATTCCCCCCTCGTTTCTTCTGAAGTCAAGCGCACTCTTTGTTCAGCAAAACCAAAAAAAGAAAACGGCAAAACGACAAGACAATGAAAACAGCATGAGCACATCTCTGGCCTCCAACCAGCAGAGCAGAGATCATTAAGCTCTGAACAAAAACAGACTCTTTGATAACACCGCAACTATTTCATAGAGGTCTTAAACCCGTTTAATCTCTGATTGGCCCAGATATTATTGGCATTATTAACACATGTGTTGGTGGTGATAAAATCACTTTATGAAGTGAAAACAAACAAGGAAGAATCCGCTCCGCGTGACAGGGAACCATTGAGAAAACGTGCCGTCCTGATTAAAGAAAAGCAGCATTGTTAAAGCACAAAGCAGAACCACAGATCCAGTCAGATTCAGATGCTGGTCTGTTTTCTCATCCCTGCTCTCCTTCACTGTTACAATCCTGAAGTCGACAAGTTCAGCTTCGATTTTCGATTCTTACAGACCTTAAAAGTTCACTTGTTTCTGCTTGGAAGACAAAGTACCAGCTGCTGAAATCAGGAAACCATGGATATCAAACCAACAATAGCTGAGCGCTTAATAACCTTAGCCGCATTTTACAAACTTCTTAATAACTGCAGTATATAACTTTTATAAAGAATGTTTTTTTTTTACATATCTGGTGAAACTCTCACCATGTCGGGACAGCTTGTTGCGAGACAGATAATCTGAGAAAAGATCGATCTACGATTGACGTCAGATTGCAGAAATTCACGTAAATTCATGGAAACCAAAACAAACCAATCAGAGCCCGGAGGAGGGTCCTAGCGCTGTCAATCATTCTCATGTCCTCACTACTAATTGTGCTAATGGTGGAGAAACAACACACGTCATTGGTGGCTATGCTAACTTCACAAAAGGAGGGATGTGGAGGGGAGTTCACTGCAATTTTTCCAGAAAATCACTGAGTTTCAGTGACTGATAACTCCCACCTACAGGTGGCAGTATTTAGGTGTACACTGCTTTTTTTTTTACCTTACTTGACATCAAGTGATCGATGTGGTGAGTAACTAAAAGTTATATTTACTGGTATTAGCGCAAAAGGCCCAACAATTTATTGTGTACATGTAGCAGTAAGTATAACTTTTGAAAAGGTTTAATGAGGGAAAAAAATATTTCTAAAGCAGCAACACAAAGTCAGTGACTTGTGAAAACAACTCAAACTGTGGAGAGTTTAGCTGAGTCAGGCTGCGCTGCCATGTGCTAGCATCTGGGTTTCCATCAAAGTTTTTCAGGTTTTATATTACAAAATGCTGATGGAAATTGCTAAATTCTAAATAACCTCCTCATTTTTGCTAAAAATAAAATGAAACTCTGTTCACTGGAGGCAGTTCTTTGGTTTTTCAGCTAAAGACTTAATGCTGTAAAAGGAGAGACAGAAAAAACATTTTCAGAATAATAAGTAGCAAACCGTCACCTCCGCTGATGGATCTGAGCCTTACCAGAGGCACAGAAACATTTATAAGCCCAGATTTCAACCTCTACTTCCTGTTAATTACAGCCAAATGTAGCGTCAACATCTGACAAAACTACTGTGATCCTGGAGGATTTACTCCAAAAACGTCACATTTTCTTTATTTTTAAGATTTGCATGACAACTGGACACAAACAAAACCAGCAGCGGAGGCGTCAGTCCTTTCACAAAACACTTGGAGAGACCAAGAGAGGTGGACTATATAGACTTAGTTTCATCACAATATTTGTGGTTCTAACAATAAATCTGTGACTGTGTGTTGCAGCAATCAGAGTCTCTGTTGAATAAACATTCCCATTTACAATATGGTTCTTCATGACACCAGTCATTTATATCATCAAACCACCTTAAATTTAATCAAATTTTCAAATTCATTGATATTTTCACAGTGCAGACAGTAGAAAAAAATGGAAAAATTAACTATTTAGGTTTTTTTTGAGAGTTTTAAACAAAAGAGAAATTTAAATTGACAAGAGCAAATAAGAAACATATTAAAATAAATTATAAACAAGACAATAAATGCCCTAATTCCACCTTAAAACGTTTTATTTTTTTTTAAATAAGGGGCTTTATATGCATATTGTTTAGAATATAAATTATTGCAACATTTATTCATTCATCTAGTCTTTCCTACTGTTCTGGGTTCTGGCCCCCCTGTTAAATCCTCCTGGAAGCGCCCCTGCACGCAAGGGAAGTGACATTTTTACGGATTTCTTTGTTCAAAGTAATTCTCCAACATCTAAATTTATGAATCCATCCCCAGATGATCATTTATCGCTTGTTATTAATGCATTTCTTCTGATTGTGGAGGATCACTGCTTTCAGAGAGGCGTAGCTGATTTCCATCATAAATAAGCTGCAGGATGAAACCAGAGCCGCGCACACCAGTTCCCTCTCTGGGTTCCCCTTTCTGGGTTTCGAGGCTAAATAAAACCTTACATTTCAGCCCTAAACGCGGATTAAACCCACATTTGTCTGCTTTAGATGCAGCAGTGCTGGTGAAATGGTTGCATTCTGTGCAGGACGGGCCCTGCAGACCCGAACGCTGCGCCGAGGCGACTCCGCTCCGACGGGCAGCGAGAGCCGAAACGCCCTGCAGCTTCTCCCACAAACAGCAGCAAAACGTTCAGAACCAAACATCCATCATGAAACACCGGACCGGAGCGGACCGGAGCCGAGCAGAGCTTCACCCGCTCCTGTTCCTGCACAATCATTTCACGGCACAGAAAGAGCGTTTTTCACCCCGCGCTCACCTCATCCGGTAGACGCGCGTCTCCTCCGGATCATGGCTGACAGGGATGAGAAAACCTCCAAACCTTTGGGGTTTATAAGCGGCTTGTGCTCATCGTCGCAGCGGCGGCTCCAGTGCAGCCAGCGGCCGCTGTCCCCTCCTCCGCCTCGGCGTTGGGTTCTGTGTTTGGGTCGGAGGAAAAGTGATGTCATTGCATGAAAACGGCCGAACCCGCCCCGTTTTTTTTCCCCCTTTTTTTTCTGAGGTGGTTCCAAGAAGCTGAGCTTCACTGTAAACCTAGAAACTATAATTGGGTCAGAACCAGAGGTGGGCAGAGGATGGCACTCAAATAAAAGTAGCACAACATGTTTTTAGTCAAATAAGAGTAAAAAGTATGTGGTAAAATGTGAACTGAGTAAAGTATTGAGTGACTCATTATTATTGACTCTGCATCCACCAGCAAACATGCATCAACCAAAGAAAGGGTCAAAAGGTCAAAACTATCAGACACCATGAATGACCATATTCTAGGACTTTGCAGTCAATGCGTCCAAACTGAGCGTAAAGATAACGGATATTCTCCAATGTTTTCTTTTTTTTTGTACAGGGAAAACATTCAGTTTTAACTTCTAATTCACATGTGGAGTTCCTCAAGGTGCTTTGATCGGCCCTCTTTTCTTTACATCACGTTTCCCCAAACTGAGATGTGGGTTTATTTCAGGCGATCATAAACAAATTTACACTGACTGACCATCCCTTGATCTCGCCGCAGATTGTAAGACATCAACCACTGAATGCAATCATCTTCTTACAAAGTTCTTGCATCCAACCGTTCCTTAGATTTTAAGATGAAGAAACAGAGATGGAGAAAAACAGGAAACTGGAGTTTTGAAATTAATCGTCAGCCCTAAGAAAGACTTTAAAGGCAAAATGTAGAAATGTTGCCATGACGACGTGCTGAAGGCGGAGTCTCAGAAAGAGTAGGAGCTTCTTAAGGAGACAGAGCCTCGATTTCGAAACATTCAATTTCTTTTACATTTGATTGTTGCAGCATTTCTACAACTGGAGCCAACAGTTACTTGATTGCACTATAAAACTGCACACATGAAGCGGTTTTAGGAGTTTATAGACCCTCTGGTCTGGGAATACACCGAGATCCTGTAAGAGCAGTAAAAGTCTGGGTTTCCCTCCTGGAACTTAAAGAAGTTGGAAAAATTCGTGAAAAAAGTCTTAACGTCCTCTTCTCGTGTTTCAGGATCCAGTAGGAACCCCAGTTCCACAACATTAGTTCCCCAGAGTGAACTGAATGCAGCTTGCAGCTCCCTGTTGGAACTAAACAAATCTACAGTATCTCGCAATCTGGGGAGGAATTTTAAAGAGCACTTAGCTGAAATCTCCTTAACGAGAAACGGCTTTATCAAATATTTTTCCAGTTTAATCTGTCAGATTTAGTTTTGCTGCATAGTTGGACATCTTATAGAAGCTTAGCTGGACTAAAATAACGAAAGAAACTGGATTTTGAGGCACCTGTTGAGAACACTGGCAAAAAAAAAAAAAAAAATACAAAACAGTTACCAATAAAGGTTTTTAATGGTTTCAACCACTTGGGGGTCAAATCATTTATTTTTTCAATAAAAAAATCTAGTGATATTGTTGTGAATTATTTTATTTTGACCTGTTAAGCAACAAATTAACATGTAATAATTTAGTTAAAAAGGTCCAAAAACTGTCCAAGTTCGTTAACTTGCTGGTGACGATATTTGTAGTTTATTCCCAGCAACAGATATGAAAACTTTCTTCACTAACTGTGTGACTAAATCTGTTTTTTTAGTAACATGTTGCTGGAGGTTTGTGGCCCTACTGACTATGGAATTAAAATAAAAGCAAAAACAAATTTCAACGTGACTATTGACAGAAAACCACTTATTTTGCATCTAAAGTGTTTCATTAAAGATATAAATTTGTCATTGAAAAACCATTCAAAACCAGGGCCCATGAATGGCCCCTGGTTTATGAACGCCTCTACACTAAAATAAAGACAAATACAACCAGCTGACAGCGTTTCGTTCCTCTGTCACCTTTTATTACAACAAACAAACACTTGAGTACCGCCAGGTATCCCGGTAGATCAGAAGATTACCAATTCACAGAACCAAATCATTGGAACCAAAAGTAGCAGAAAATAAAAAGCCGTCTGTCTGTTCATCGAGGAGCGTCGCCGGCTGCCAGGTCCAGGTCTTGGGCCGAGCTGTCGGTGGCGTCTTCTTCTCCTCCACCTACGTCTGACACCACCTGAGGAAAGACACCAGAAATAAATCAAAGTTTTCTACAACAAGTCGGCCATCAAAAAACCACGGCAGCAACAGTTCTTCTTGCTGCTTCGTTATGAGACAAACTGAGAATCAAAACTTTCACAAGAACTGAAACGTGACATTTATGTTAAATAACATGAGTTGATGTTGTTCTGCTCTGGTTGTGCCACTTCAATATGTTTGGTTACTTAACTCAAACACAGCAGGCTTCATTTGAGTTATTAAACAAGTTTTAGCTAACCATTAAAAATCCCCATTTTTAAGACAAAAACTAAGCAGTTTCTAGATTATTCAGTTAATCTTTAAATGCTCATTCAGTTTCAATTACATGTGCTTTTTGGGGGGATTATTTTTCTTTCAGTTAAGAAAAATGCATTTTTTCCTGATTTTAGGTTTTATAAACAATATTAACCTTAAAGGTGAAAGCTTAAGCACTTTAGGTCCAGAGACATTTGTGGTCATTTTCCTGACATGATACATGATTATGCTATCTTTACAAATTTTGAAGTAAGCCATTATTGCCTTGAATAACATTTTTAATAGTTTAAAATGATTGTTATGCAAAAAACAGGATGGAGAGTTACTCAGAAAATATTTATTTCTTACATAAAAACTTAAATAACTAGAAAGACAAATGCAAATTTTTATTTTTGGCAATAGTTATACAACAAAAAGTCTCTTCGACTAAGATCAAATCTCGTCCTTTATGAGGAATCACAGAGGGGTCCACAATCTCGGTGGAGCCTCAAACTGACCTGGTCATCCATGATGGCGTCCATGTCTCTTTCTGAAAGCTCGTGTCCTGAGGTGTCCAGGTCCACCTGGTCTGGGTCCTCTCCGGTCAGGATGTCCATCGGAGCCTCGGCGATGGCTCTGATGGTCTGGTCCTCCAGGGCCAGGGCCGTGTCAAACTGCAAGGGGGACGGGGGCCCCTGCATGCCGTCCCCTTCCACGTCCAGGTCCTGCAAAACACACAGCAGCTCCTCATGAGGACAAAAATCAATAAAAAAAGGTTAAAAAAACTAAACATTTTTATTCACTTCTGCATCAATGAGCTGAAATAAATCGTTTTAATAATTGTAGTTACGATGAAGTTATTACGACATACGGTAATACTGTTGTTTTGAGACAATATTTAAGTAAAAATAATAGTAATGGCATAATAAAGCAAGAACACATCCTCAAAGATGAATAAACTTTAAATTCTAATTAACACTGCAACTGGAAAACATTTTAAATATTCAACAAACTAAACAACAGAAACGACAAATAAAACTAATTATGGAGTCTCTGTAAACAAAATTGTCTTTCAAAAAAAAAATTAAAAAAGGTCTAATTGAGGTCAAAGAAAACTTATCCAGTTTTTGGTAGAAAGAAAAATAATAAATGATGCAAATGGAAATAATTGAGCTTGTTTTAATTTATTATGCGATTAATTGCTGCTTCATTTTCCCTGCTTTATGTTTAAAGAGACATCTAAAACAAGTCAGCTGCTACGCTCTGCTGCAGGCACCGAGTGTCACAGATGGATCACCTTTGCAAACAATGTTGCTCAGTTTAACACCTCAGTGTCGCCCCCTGCTGCTTAGACTTACCAAAAATTTACACCAATTCATTCAATTTGACAAGACAGATAAATTAATTGCCAAACTAATTTTATTTACGGTTAGTTTTGGTTTGTGAAACGATTCTGTGTTAGCAGACGTTTGTGTCAAGGTGGGCGCGTATCAGCAGAGGTCAGACATACGTCGCTGAACTCCAGCGGGAGGCTCTCTGTGGGCTGCAGCTCCGCCGCGCTCAGGTACATGTCCTTGCTGGACGGGGTGAAGTGCTCCTGCGGTGGCGGCTCCTGCTCTGGCTGGTACATGGGCGGAGGCAGGGTGAGGTGCAGCGGGCATCGGGGATCGTCCGACTGACCCATGTGGACGGTCCGGTCGCAGGGAGCGTCTTTCAGCCCCGGGCAAATTTTAAAAAGCACCTGGTTGCTGTCCTGGCAGATGTCTGAGCAACTTGTTGAGGAAAATAAGAAGGAATTCAGACAGAAATACAATTAAAACCCCACAAAAAACAGGAGAAATACACAAAACTACAAGTCTGTAGACTATGATGTGATGTGGAGCATTTTCATAAGTTTTCTAACTTTGCCAGCACCACTTTGGAGATAAAAACGCCACAAATGAACAAAAGAAGATAGTTTTAAGTCTCGTAATGAGATTTTTCTGATCTTACTGTTTTTAAAATTAGAAAAATAGGAATAATTTAGGTAATTTTGACTAAGCTAAACCAAGAAAAGTTTGACCTGATTAACTTTAGACTGTGAGGAAAAAAAGTTTTGTCTTTATATTATTTTTAAATTTGGTTAAAACTGTACATACACTTTCCAAATTTAGGCTTTTAATGAAATGCTGCATTGCATTTTGTTACCAAACTATGCAGTTCGAATATCTGTATTGTTTATTCTATGATGCACGACTTTGTGTTTTTGATGTAAAGCACTTTGAAATGCCTTGTTGCTGAAATGTGCTATACAAATAAAATTTGATTGATTGATCTGAAGCATCTTTAAAGACCTTATGCAGAAATCAGGCACTTTCCAAATATTCAAAACATCTCATTGAAATTCAGGCATTTTTAAGGATTCGCAGAACCTGCATAAATCTTTGTTTCTGTAGGTTTTATGTTCAGACAAAATGTATAAACCAGCAAAAAATCAGCACTATAATCGGAACAGAATCTTTTGAGCTTCACCTGCGTTATTCTGCAGAAAAAACATTTCAAGGAAATGTTACGGCTGGGAAAGAAATTCATTTTATCAATTAAAAAAATTTTTGTTTTACGAAGATTTAATTTTTCAAAATGTTTTTCCCCCCCCATAGTTCCCTGGAGTGATGTCATCACGCCCAGGGCGGCCATCTTGTCCAACAAGTGTATTTTGCAGCTACTGTTTATTTGGTCTTTGAATTCAAGCCAAGCTTATGATGGACTGTTGGAGTCAAACTATGATATTCAACATTTTTAATTTTGATGATAAAATCATAGTATTACAAGAGTAAAGTTGAAATAATGTGAGAATAATGAATAATTACCAGACTAAGTCGTAATATAAGGAGAACAAAGTAATAAAGTAACAATGTTATGAGAACTCTTACATGAAAAATAAAAAAATTAAATAATGTTGGATCTTGTTAAGTTATACTTTCGGTTTTGGTTTTATAGATAATTTAATTTTCCTTAGAGAACAACAAGTATTTTTGGATTGAATGTAATACTTCAAATTTGAACACATCACCATCAAACTATTGATGGATTTTGAAACGACTGAGCAATAAAACGACTTTTTTCTTGCAATTTCAAAACATTCTTTTGGTAAAATTGCTTCATCGTTGACCAAGTATTATGATTATATTCACATAATTAAATAAGGGTTTATGTAGTTAGGCTCTAATACTCTATCATCCAACTCCCAAAAGGGACGACTGAAATGAAATCCACTTTTGAAAATCTTTTCTGTCATTTGTAATTGTTTTTATTTTTTAAAAGAAAACGCAAAAGGGGAAAAAAAATGTAATCTGGAAATTGAATAAACAAAAGAGCCACATTGCTGAGCTCTAGAAATGATTGTTCCTTCCAACTGAATTGATTTAGTCCCTGTAAATCTGGGGAAAATCAACAGACCATGGGAAGGTTTTATTTTGGGCTCCGTTTAGAGAAAACTAACAGCTACTGCAAGCTGCTGCTTTTGATCCGAGCCGAAGAAGAAAGGAAAGGTAGAAAGAGGGTTAATTAATTCAAAACACAACAACAACTTCACTGTGCGACTCAACATAAGTAGAGCGAAGGATACGAGAGAGGCAGTGTCTGGCCACCGGGAGGCAGGGGTTGGTGCATCTGACTCCATCAACGAAGGCCATGCAGATTTCACCCCCGGCTCTCATGTGGAGCTGCAGCGCAAAACAGAAAATATCAGGAGAAAGAAATGCAACAATTAAAGAAAACCATCAGAAATAAGCCTGCGTGAATGTCAAAAGAGAAAATGACTCAAAAGGGTACCAGAAAAATGTCTGATGTGGTTCAGCTGGAGCTGATAGCATGACTCAACAATAAACGAAGCTGCAGCACTTTAAATGAGTAAAATAGTCAATTTTTTCTGATGGAAACGGATTTGTCACTTATGGCAGAAACAAACGTAATAAGGGTTTTGTCTCGTTAAAAGAAGGGAGTCCACTTTGCAAATATTGAAAAGTCTCGACGAGGCTTGTCACAATAACAAATTATGCTGGACCAGAAATCGTATCAGGAATTATTGCAATGAACAATAATGTTGTTTTGAGACCATTTTAAAGTAATGTAATGCCATAATAATGCGAGAACACATTCTCAAAGATCATTAAACTTTAAATATTCATGAGCATTTAACACTGGAACTGGAAGACATTTTAAATATCCAAACCAAATCAACAAAAAAGACAAATGAAGTGAATTATTAAGTCTCTGAACAAACTTGTCCTTCCATATAAAAGTAGGAGAGACCAAAGCACCAGACTGAAGACTTTTATCAGCCAGGTTTTTGTACAAAGAGGGAAAAGAGAAAATGATAAATTATGCAAGGAGAAATAATTGAATTTGTTTTGATTTTTCATGATTCATTTAATGATTATTGTATAATAGAACATTGATATTGTATTCACCTGAGAGGCTCCCTCTGTCACCGCCTGCCTCCTCTCCCTAAGCTGCCGGTGCAGCAGGGCTTCCACTCCGTACCGGCGGCGGTACCGACGCAGAGCTTTCAGCTTCTTCAGGTTCTCCCTCTCCTTCATGGAAAGACCTTCAGGTCCCGTTAACAGACTGCTTCCTGAACCAAAAATACAAAACGTGTTAAAAAACTCCATGGGAACAGATGTCATCTAATAACTTCTGACTGCAGGTAGTTGTAGTTACCTAAGGTTTCATGCTCCAGTTTACGGTTTTGCAGGTATCGGCGCTTTTTCTCCTTCAGCAGATGCTGCAGGCGCTTAAACTGGTCGATGTACAGAGACTGCAGCCTGATGAGCTTTTCTCTAGTGATCAGAGCCACTTCCTCTGCTGTGTAAACCCCTGCATGTCTGCAAAGGTAATCGAAAAGAAATCTAAATTAGCACATATACATTACAAGAGGATAATGTTAAATGCTTTTGTAAAGTAAACGATAAGAAATTATTCATTGGTCGGAACAGGAGTTCAAAATGTTAAACTTGTCAATTCTGCTACACATAAAACATTTTGGTGAAGAAAAGATGGCTGAACATTTTCGTCTTACTTCAGAGGATCTTCATGATCGCTTTCAATACTGTCAGCCTCGCTGTCAGGGTCTCCTCTCCAGGTCTGGTCCAACACCAGCGGGCCCTGCTCCTCATCACTCAGACTTTCTTCATCTGCAACAGAAAGAGAGAATGGATTAGAAACGATTGATCGTGATCAAACAATTATTGAAATAATCTGCAATTAAGTTAGTAATTGACTAATCATTAACTGGAGTATGCAGACAGAAAAATTCATCTGCTGAAAGAAATAACATCATAAGAGAATATGTAAACAATAGAAATATTATGCATTTAAGTTCCAACAAAGAAACCTTCATCTGTAAATATTTTCTACCCAGAATTTCTCAAGTGGCAGTTTTAGCTTCACCAGATTAAAATTCTTAAAAAAGAACATAAAAATCTATTTAAGAACTTTTTTCCCATCTGATTTTTAATCCAAAAGTTAATTACCAGATCAGCCTTGCACTATATGGATATATATAGGAATAAAATAATAGGACAGTTTTTAATGACCTAGAGTTCACTAACGGAATTATGTTACTGTCCTCTAAGAAACAAAATGCTTAATTTATTATTTAAAAGTGGGATTTATTTATTTATTTGTATTTTTTTATTGTTTCTCTAGGCTTAAGAGGCTAAATGAAAAATCTGAAGAATTTGCCAATTTAGTTATCTGAATAGTTGAAAGATTAATCAATTGCTAAACCAATTGCCAGCTCCAGCCGTAAATTAGATGAAAAAGTACGCAGCATTCAGGTCCTGAACTAAGATTAAGTCCAGGACCTAAAATGAATGTAAATCTCGTACCCAGGATGCGGCTGGCCTCAGAGCGTCCTCCATCTAGACTGTGGGTCTCTGATCGGTTGAAGCAGCTGAGCTGGGACAGCAGAGTCTCTGGAGATGGACCTGAAGAAGCCTTCCTCATCTGAGCTCGCAGGGCCATCGCATTCCTACGAGCATGCTCGGCACAGAACGTCACCCTGCAGCAGAAACATAAGAAAAATAAACGTGTTTGAATCAGTCAGTAGCTAGGAGAATGAAAATTGACCTTCCTCCATGTACCCATCTTTCCTGTCAGCCTTCGGAGCAGCGTTCGGGCAGCGCTTGCCGTTTTTGGCTGAGACATAGCTACAGTGTTTGTACGGGGCGTTCTTGTCCTCCAGGATGTGTTTGATGCAGAAGTCGAAGCCCTCGAGGCGAGGCTGGGTGCAGGGCCGCTGGGTGAAGGCGCAGGCCTGGGGTTCCTGCGGTCGGGCCGTTTGACTCACCCGGTTGCGACTCGAGGGCAAAACGTGTATTCTGATTCTGTTCATCTCAAATCTAGAAAGAAAAGAGAATTCAATCTGAAATTGAAACATTTTCTGATATTTTGTTATTGTGGATGTTGACGCTGTGGGCAGGAAGGATCTCCACTAGTAGTCAGTCTCGCAATGAGCCTGAAACAGCCTCTGACTGAAGACTGTCATTTAGCAAAGACCTCATAACTGTAGTAAAATGCTAACATCTCAATTTCCAAAAAGCAGAGACAATATTTATCACCTACATGAGTGCTGTTAGGTAAGAAATTGAATTCTCTGATGGTTAATTTGCAAAAACTTTACACCGTTTGAGAAATGCAAGTTTAAGGCAATAACTTCGGTACTAAATTCCTGAGATCTAAAACCAATTGAGCTTCTTGGTTTATGAGTTTACCTGTGTTATTCCACTATCCACAAACACTATGTGATCAGTTTTTCTTTTCTTGAATCTGTCCTATAGCAGTATTACTGAGCCTATTTCTCCCTGTTAAAAGGGAGTTAATCCTTTCAACTGTCGCCACATGCTTGCTTAGCAGAAGGAACTGCTGTCAAGATGCTTACTCAGCTCTGATAGTTGTTATGAATGCTAATACAATATTGAAAGAATCAGACTTACAATCATGTTAAAAATGTAGATTTAAAAATGTGTTCATCATAAGAGTAGCAAGGTACAGTTAGAAGTCGTTATTTTCTACGGTTTTACTACGCGGGTAAATGCCAGTTAACCTTTCACACAGAAAATTAACGCAAATGTTCAACAAAAACAATAAAAACCGCACTAATAATAACAATATCATTTTAATACTGTATGTAACTGTTTTACAATGCGGTTTGATGGCTCCAACTCCGCGCTGTAAGCTTTAACCCGCCTCTTTGTACTGCGTCACTACTTCAGTTGAAGAGTCGCCATCTTTGTCTGGCTGGTAGCATCATCAGCTAACTGCTACTTTAAATAATCCTCGTTAAAGGCCACAGATTTATCAAGCACGGCCAAAAATCAGCTGCCATACATTATATCGCTACAATATGTAGAAGCCATAATCTGAACGAAGCATTATGTAGTAAAGCTGCTTACCTTCCTGTAGGGACGTCCGCACAGACGCAGAGTCCCAAACTACAATAACGCGACTTCTCCCCGGATTCCTTGATTACAGCAAATCTAGCCCCACCCAGGTGCAGCGCTGATTGGTCAGAACAAAATGTAAGGCTCGTGATTGGCTAATCTAGTCGCCACTCAAACTAGAAACAACTCGGTTTCCAACACGCCCAAAAAACAGAAATTAAAAGTCCACATCCCTTTTTCTTAAAATATTTATTGACTTCCGGAATAAAGCAACCACATTTTATATATATAAAAAAACATTGTTCACATATAACTTATTAAATGAAAAAAAAAAAAAAAAAGAAAATCAAATTTCTTTATTTCCAGACCTGAGTGTCAATAAAAACACCAAGAAATGAAACATGAAACTATTGTAAATGTGATTTTTGCATTGTTAGGTTGCATGAGTGTCTTCCATTCACCTTATATATATGGTCTTAGTATAAAAATGAATCATTTTCTCACAGCATGTTAATACTTCAACTGAAACATTTGTCCCAATTAGATTATTTGTTTTGGAAATCTACTCTAGTAGCTTTACCATTATACATGTAACACTTTGTCGATTTCATCGTAGGCTCACCTACAAAGATAAATATTCAGTGCATTCACCATTTCCCTGTTACAACTAAAAGCCTAAAGAAAAGAAAGCCTCTTTTCTGACATATTTATCATTTATGAGGGGAATTAAATACAATTATATGGCTGATTTGCTGTACTGCATTACCATAATCTGCTTTAAGCATTTTTTGTTTTTACATGAAAACTGATTAAAAACGAAAAGGGAGCAGGTTAAGAGCAGAAATATTACACAATCAAACCCATATAAAACTTTATGTATGAAATGTACAGCCAACAAATAGAACATTTGCTAATTTGCTCAAGCATAAAATTTAAACATTCTTTATGGGACTACATGTTCAAGACTGTGGGATGGAGGTGCTGTAATTATAGAGGACGTGCAAAAACTTTTCAAAGAGTGGTCTTTTTTGGATGGATTAATAAAAATAAAAAAGCTAAATATGAAGAACATTTGCATGTGTAAAGCCAATTTTAACATGATTAAAACAGAACAGTGTTAACATGAGGGATTACACAATTAAACAACCTAAAATCAAAACCATTAAAGGCGAGATTACATGTCTGTCCTTCATAACCACTGTACTGGGTAGATATGATTAAACCTTTCCCACTGCATGAAGCTAGTGTAACTGAATATGAACATTTTACAACCATTTAAAACAATGACTGCAACACTTAAAATCTAAGAGTACAAGCTTCATTACATTACATTTCTTTTTTTTCCTGTAATTTTCAGTAACAAAATAGAGAGAAAGATTCCACAATACAATCTTCATACAAGTAACCCAAATAAAACAGCCACTAGTTATGGAGGCAGGAGGCTTTTCTTTTCTTTTTTTACCTTGAAAAATACAAATAAAAAAAAAAAATATGTAAAAACATGGCTTTGTTGACATGCACTCTCAAACTGTACAGTCTTGATGAAAACATTTCTCCCTGTGCAGACAGAAAGGAGGGAACCTTAAAGGTCAACTTAATGTTTTTTTTTTTTTTTTAAAGCACTCAATAAATAACATACTATAAAAACAGTACAAAAAGGGGGTGAAAGATATCTGATGGCAGTTTGAATTTCATTAATGTAAATCCCCATTGTCACATTTCCATAGAATTGAGCAGAAGAAAATCTTTTGTTCTTTGCGAGGCTTTAAGATTCATTATGTAAAACTTCTAACCGCATTATTACATTTCTCTGCTGTCACCCTGAAACTTACGGAGGACTGTCAGAACCACGCTCAGAAAAAATACAATTACAAGATTAAATTCATAAAATTATGAGAACAAAACCATCAAATTATGAGAATACGGTCATAATGTTATGACAAAGTTGTATGAGTAAAATCGTATTTTGAGAAAAAAAAGTTATATTACAAAAATAAAGTTGCAAAATTGAGAAAAAAAGTTGAAATATTCAGAAAAGTCGCAACAATACAACAAAATGTCCTAATTATATGAGAGTAGACGGTACTAAGTGAAAAAAGTCATAAAATTGACTTTATTCTTGGATTATTTAGACTTTATTCTCGTAATTGTATTTATTTTCTTAGCGTGGCCCTAATACTCCCTCATAGAAACTTACATTAAAAAAAAGTTGGGTGAATTTAATAAAAAAAGCTAATTTAGTTGTTTTTGTTTTTTTGTTTTTTTTACAACACTTTACATAAGATGGACGCTTATGATTTCAAGTAAAATCTACATAAATGACCATAGGATCATTTGGGTAGTGGCGGCAGAGGGGGGGGCGGTTCTGAGGGCAGGGGCGGCGGTCTGGGGTTGGCCCCCCTGGAGCCACTGGGGAACCGGAAGTCCGCGTACTGGGATCGATAGTCATACATGGACGGCTGCGACGGCTGCACGCCCTGTGCGCTCAGCAGCGAGTTCAGCATCTCAAAAGTGTCCTGATACTCGTTGGACTGAGCGCCGCCCGCCGCACCATGCCCGTTAGTGTCCATCTTGTCCCCTTTGGAGTGCGAGAATGCCCCCTGGTGGTGGGAGAGGCCCAGCGGCGGCAGAACGTCCGAACCCAGGGTTTGTCCAGAAGACAGGGAGGGCAGCTGGTAGGCGTTCCTGGAAGTCTTGCTGACCTTGGCGGCGGAGGTGGCGTGCGGGTCCTGGGAATGCGTCCTCTTTCTGGAGCTGGACGAAGACGAGGAACTGGACCTGGACGAGTCGCTTGGGACTTTTTTACTGCTGCCCAGCGAGCCTCCAGAGCTGGACGAGTGTTTGTGCGAGGAGGACAACGAGGCGCTGCTGGAGGAGGAATGGTGGTGGTGCTGCTGATGATGATGATGCTGCTGATGATGGTGGTGGTGGTTGGAGCGCTCCCTGTGCTTCTCCCGGCTTTTGCCCTCCTCTCCCGAACCGCCCCTCGGCTTCTCCGGCACCCGTATTTTCACTTTAATGTCTGGGTCCTGACCCCGATCGCCGTGGCCACCGCCCCCGCCTGCGGGCATCGGGAAACGCATTTTCAAATGTTTGTCAGACCGCTCCCTGTCCACAGGGATTTTGAGGATGATGGGCGAGGGGTTGGACACGTCGGAGGACGAGGAGGAGCCGGACTGCTGGTGATGATGCTTCTTCTGCTGGCCAATGAGAGCCTGCGCTGCGTTGGCGTAGTCTCTCTTCACGCTGGCCTCCATGTTCTCCAGTTTCCTCTTCTGGGCAGCAAGGACGTCTGCGTTTTTGGCCCGGTATTCGCTCAGCGACACCTTGGCCGGGGCATGGACCTCATGGTTGGCCGGCGGCTGCTCCCCGCTGACTGCGCCTTTTCCGCTCCACGTGGCAGCGCTGCCCGGCACCGCCCGCTCCTTGTCGCCCCCGGAGGAGGAGCCGGATGGCGGCGCCGATAGGCTCATCAGGCCCGCCACGGTGCTTTCTGAAGACACCATGGAGATCATGCTGATCATGGTGTCTCTTTGGTCTCCGTCCTCCTGCACTTTTGGCTTGGCTTTTGGAGTTTGACCTCCGGCCTGGGAGAGGAGAAGACACGGAAAAATATCATAAACCAAATCTCAGCATCTCAAAATAACGACAAAAATCTGCTTTTGTTAAAAGATGAACGCACCTTCCAGTTTCGAATTCGCTTGAGCCGACTGGGTGTTTTCTCCAGGATCTGAAGAAACTCATGGGTGAGTTCTGCAAAAATATTTAAAAGTTCAGAAATCGCTCAAAAGATTATGAAAACCCATTTCTGCCATGAAAGAAAAATAAAAATAAGCCTGACAGGAAGATGTAACTATAAAACAAATAACTACAAGTTTAAAACAAGTAAATGCAGCTTTTATTCTTGTAATCTCATAATTATGATTTTTATTCTTATAAATAAGTTGCAATTAAAATTTTAATTTTAAACTGTACAGACGTTACACATGGAACTTGTAAGTTATGACTTATAACCTTTTTTTCTTGAAATTATGACATTAAAACTCAACAACTTTAAAACTCAAATATACCACATTTAGTGTGGTATATTTAAAACCATAAATATTTATGGTTTTAAACTTTTAAACACAAAATTAATTCTTGTTTTATGGTGGTAAAACTTGTAAATATGACTTCAAGACTCATAATTACAACTATTTTTCCCAAGTAAATGGGAAAAATATATGTTGTAATTAAATGTTGTAATTATTTTTAGATAAATCTGGACCATTATGTCACCTTAAACAGAACGACAGGATAAAACCCAAGACATACCGTCTAACAGCTCCAGGGTGACTGTGGGATCCACATACTCCCACCAGTGTTTCCCGTCCGTAGAGACGGGGATTTCCCAGTTGGACCATTTGCAGGCCAGATGGATGCAGACACAGGCGACAACAGGTGGACTATACTGCAGGCAGAACGTGGTCAAATGCAGGCTGGGTTGCAGGGGAACAAAAAAAGAAAAAGAAAGAAATCAGAAAACTAAAATTTTGGTTAAAAACAGGCTGAAAGTCAAACAACATGGAACAGATCTACACTGTCTTCCTAAAACAACATTTAGCTGGGTGTATACCTGTTGGTGGCCATGAAGTAAGATGTTTGGGCCAGATCCTTACTGGCTGGAAAACCAGAACAAAATAAACTTAAGAGCCTGAAAAATAAGCTTAAAGGAGAAACTGATTCTTTTCTCCTCCCAGCATGTAAGTGTTTAGGTGCGATGCTCACCTCTGACCAGCTGGGTGCATTTCACCACATGAGTGTGAGGATGATCAATTGTGATCTCAAACGCTGAAATGAAAAGGGGACAAAAAAGGCAGCAGACTTTAGAAAACTGAGCACAGAATATCAGCACGAACATATGAACCGTTCAGGCTTCATTAAATCCAGCTGCAACGGGAAACGTAACATTAAAGTCCCTGAAATCAGAAAATTGGTTTTATTAATCCAAACTCAAAGCTGAAATTTACAGCAAATGTGAGAAGAAAAAAAATGGCTTTCCATGTGACAATGAGAGAAATAAAGAGCTGGTTTAAGTCATTTAACAGTGATAAGGTGAAACTTTCCAATGCTGATAACCACATTTGGCATTTCTGTGAACAAAAGTTAAAAACCGGTTAGCTTTACAAGCTACACACGTTTCTGCTAGGGAAACAAAAGGGACCCAGTTTTTTTTTTTTTCCTTCTAAACTTACCCAGGGTCTGGAGAATTATGCTCTCAAGAATGACCAGGTCTTGGGCTTGTTGCAGGTAAGCCTGAGGTTGAGAGGACAGGCACGTTACTCACTGGGAGGCCTCTGATCATTGTCAAACAAGAGCTACTGAACATGCGCTGTGGTTTTTAAATGTTCGCCTGATGGTCTGAAAGGCTGACCTTTAAGTTAAATTGTGGGTTGGGCAATTAGTGCAAAAAAAAAAAGATTCCCCTTCTGTCGTAGAACCCGTCTTTCCCGTTACGCTGAGGACGCCTTGCAGACAACATGATTAACACCACAGAGCACAAACAGATGCTCTTGTTTTACAACCGCTTGACATCACAACACCTGGACAACTGATACTTTTCTCTCTCAACCCACATTTCAAGCCACCGAACTGAACAAAAGTTCACACTTACAACCCCTGTTTTTGAAAGGCAGAAGTTTCATAAATTGAAAAACAAAAATGTTTTTTGGAAGCAATAGACATAAAAATCATAAAAAGTCAGAAACTGCAAAATGAAGTAGTTAAAATTATAAAAGAGGAAAAAAAGCTTCATTTCCCATTATTTTTGTTTGTGGACACAGTTAGGCCTGTCACAATAAGCAATAAATAAGTTAGCTGTGTGAAAAATTTTAATTAGCTCATTTTCCATTTGCATAATTTTTTTTTCTTCTTTTGTCTCTCTTTCTACCAAAAACTGGATAATAAAAGCTTTCAATTTGGTGCTTTGGTCTCAACTAGACATTAATAATTCATTTTATTTGTTGTTTCTATTGTATTTATTTATTTTAGATGTGAAAAATGTCTTATAATTCTACTGTTAAATGTTTATTAAAATGTAAAGTTAATGGACCTTAGAAAATATGTTCTTGCCGTTACCATTATGGCATTTTTATTTGCCATTTCCCTTAACTAACTTGAAAATTGTCTCAAAACAGCAATATTATCATTTATTGCCACAACTTATACTACAATTTAATATTTAGCAAAATTTGTTATTGCCACAGGCCTAGACACATTTACCGTAATTTCTGGACTATTGAGCGCACCCAAATATTAAAAAATGACCTGAAGAAGCCATGTGTCCATGTGTCGTTCTCTTGGGATTTTGAAAAATGTCTATAATTATTCGACTTATTTTACCCCTTTAGTAACAAAACGACGGAAAACATTTTCTGAACATACATCCAAAGAAAATACTATTGGTTGCTTTTGTTTATTTGGCAGCTGGTGCTTTTTCCATACGCTAAATATAAGTGTGCCTGACTTTTAAACAGGTAAATTTAGTTAAATTACTTGCCAAGAAGAGGAAAAATATAGCAAATGTTGTCTCTTCCCTTCCTACTCTGGATGTCAGAGACAGAATCAAATAGATTGCCTTTGTTTTCTTTTGTGTTTTTTATTATTTAGTGTAGCCATAACAATCTTGAGTTGGCATCGTCTTCTTTATAACGCAGCAGTACAACTTTTCAGAACCCGTTAGTAAAACCACAACTCAAGTGTTCAAAAAGTGTAACAAAAAAAAAGTTGTCTTAACAGTCCAAAAATTACAGTAATAGGTAAAAAAAGGCTTCTGGCGTGGAAATGCATCAAATATCTTCACAAACCCCGTTTTGTGGTGGTACCGATTGACTGCATGGACACCCAGTACTTACATCACTGCGGACGTCTGGCGAGGGATCCTGAGGGTTTAGACATGCATGCGCCACCTTGATTACGTGTTCCAACTTTCGGGGCTGTTCCTCAACCTTCGCAGCAAGGAAAAGAGCAGCCGGAGCGATGACCTGAAGGACAGGAACAGCTCTTAGGCTCGTCAAAGTCCAGCTAAGAGCTGGCGAGAGCAAAGAGAAACCCGATACTTACATTTCGGTGAAACCTTGTGAATGATTGGACCATGTAGAACCGATGCATGTACACAATAGCTGTATTAATAGTTAGTTGGGATCTGACACAAGACTGTTAAGGACAACATAAAAACAAAACAATGCAAACCAATAAAAATCAACACCATGTCAGCCTCTCTTTAGGTTTATGATCATTGGGTCAAAGGATTTATACTACAATCATCTGAAACACAGTCACTACACTCAGATGATCTCCATCCCACTCATTGAGAGTATTGGCACCAACTGAATGGGCCTCTGCTGAATTAGGTCAGTCACTTTGAGAAGACGAATCGCCTCTTCTATGTTATATATGTATCAGTTTCCAATTTGACATGAAAGGGATTTGTATTTTTATGACAAAAAATGGTATTGGTCATGACTGATTTGCAACGGAATAAAAGGGGTAAAACATCCAAGGATGTCATTACTTTTTAAAGGCACTGTAAACATCAGTGCGTTGCCGGAAGAAATATTTTATATAAACACTACACTAAATGTTGCCTTTAGATAACTACTACGCTGTTTTTAGACACTCTAAATATGATGTTTACAGTTACATTAAGCAGGTTGTTTAACCCTAACTCTAAACAGTTTCACTAAACAGACATAGCTAATGCTAACGTTTATAAGGCCTGTGAACCACAGAGGCCCTGTCGGCTGCGGTTAGCATTTACGGCTGCCGTCGAAGAGAATAAACAAGCCATAATGTACTAAAATCAGCAACAAATGCGCTAACCAGTTATCAATATACTTAAAACATCTACAAGGCCTCGTCCAAACCACAACAACATAAAGCGACCACGCTCTCGGTCGAGCCGGCTCCGAGAGAAGCTAAACTTTGATAGCCGAGGAGCTAATGCTAATGTTAGCTATGTGCGACGCACCACGACAAAAGATACACATTGAGCCGCTGCCCCATGTCCTGGAGGAGGTTCGCTGCCTGCTGTCTGTAGGACAACTCCTTATCGGGATCAAGTCCAGCTTGCCGAGAAGGGCTGTTGTCGATCTGCTGTCGGGTGTAGTACCATTTGTTGTTACAGGTTGAAGGGAGCGAACGAAACGAAGCCGCCATCACTGAGAAGGACGAGAGTTTAAAATTTCTTCGCGTCACAGGAACATACGTCACACACCAGGGAGCGGTGCAGTTCCGCCGACGAACAACAGATGTCTCCAAAACTGAGTTAAATTCCAACAAAGCATAAAAACATTCAAGATTCTGTTTAAAATATACAACGGAAGCATTATGTGCTTAATTTAAAGGTGCGTCTTTACTTCGCGTACAGCTGTATAAAAATACACATTTATCTTGTTAAAAGTTCTTAAAAGTTTGATTCAATTTACACATCTGTTAGTTTTGTCTGTTATATTTGTTTATGTTTATATGAAATAGAGAACCGTCCTAAACCGTCAAATTTACTCCAAGAGCGCATCAGCAACTCATCATAAAAAACAGACAAGTGGTGTTTCACAGACAAACATCAGGATTTTTTCCCCCCCATGTAAAATTTGCCATTTAGATTTATGGTACTTTGTAAATCTAAATGGCAATTTTACCAGTATTTAGCAATTTATACAGAAAAGAACAACAAACAAAACAGACAGGAATCAAAAAATTGAAAACAATTTATTTTAAATTTCAAAACGTTATAAAATGGACAGATAACCTGAAGCAGTCTTATGATGGTATCCCTCAAAAGGACAACAACAAATTAAAAGGCTGTGTGTTGAATCAAAAGTACAAATAAATTCAAATAAAAAAGTTCAAGGAAACATCTGGTTTGGTAAACAAATAGAAAAATTATGTTTTTCCAGCAATGAACAAAAAACCCCCCAAAACATTTGAACGTCTTTTTGATTTGAGTTGTAATTCAGCTACATTGATGTAATAAAGTACAAGACCTTAATTTACCTCAAACAGACAGAAATCGACTTTTAACAGAGCCAACGCGACACAGTAAATGCTTGATATATTTCCTGTTATCATCCAGGTTGCAAAGCAGCAGATTGTTTATTATTGGGGTATGAAGTAGCTGCAGGAAATAAAATGTTTATTGCTGCATCATTATTGAAGCTAATTTTGAAAAAGAACAGCAGGAAGTTGGTCTGTTCCTGTAAGTTTTCATAAGAAGTAGAAACAGATAAATATGGAGCTTTTGGGCTCCCCGGAAAACAGTCTCAGATATGATCCTTCATTTAAATGTACTTTTGATTAACAAAAATCCAGTTACTAATTATTTTAACCCCAAAAATCTGTTGAACAGCCTTAAAAAAACAACAAAAAAAATCGACTACAAAAACAATTTTTTTTTAAACTTTTCCGAATCTTTCCGCACGTTTCATTTTCTTCGCCTGCAGAGAAAAGCAAACAAGAAGAGGCATTATTAAGCATCTGAATTAGTGATTTCTAATGATGAGTGAAACAGTGAGGTTACCTCGACATCGTCTCCTCCAACCGCCGGAGCGCCTGTTAAGATTCCAAACCTCTCCTTTCTCTTTTTCAGCTTTTCATCTTCCACAATCTGAATAAAAACAACAAAAAGCAGTGAAACCCAAGAAGACTGAATGTTGTGAATGAGTAAAACAGTGAGATAAACCGGTTATTAAGGTTTTTGTTTTTTACATTTTTGATGTAATATTATCCAACAGATTCACTTAAACGATCATAGATAAACATCACTTTGGACAGAGGTGTGTAAACTTTCAGATCCACGGAAAATGCTAAACCCAGAGAAGTTTGGAAGTAAATAAGTGTCAGAACTAAGTTTGTCACCTTCTGTGAAACTGATGAGACGTTCATGCCGAATCTTTCCGCTCGTTTCTTCAGAACGTCAACGTTCACCTGAAACGAACACAAATCCATCAGGCAAACAGCAGCAGCTGGAGGAAAAGAGGGAGAGAAAGAAAGAGAAAGAGAGAGGCCAAGAAAGAAAGAATGGAAGGAAGAGTAGAAAAAAGAGATAAGAGAAGAAAAGAAGGAGCAAAAGTAATAAAGAAAAAAATACAAAGGGTGAAAGAAGGAAGAAAGAGAAAGAAATAAAAAAAAAGAAATTGTTGAAGAAGAAAGAGAGAAAGAAAGAATAATTTCAGAAAAACTCACGCCAGCTTTGCTGTTTGCCACAACGCCTGTTCACAAGACAAGAATAAGAAAGAAAATAATCATTTGCCTCCATTAAACTCTCTACTGACCGTGTTTAGTTTCTGATTCAGGAAAATGAAAATGAGACAAAGAGGTTCGTCAAAACTCTCATTAAACAAATCAAGCTGTCTCTTGATTGCTTGATGCTCAGCAATCAAGTGACTCAACAACAGCCACTTGTCCAGTTTTATTGAAAACTCTGAATGGAGAAACCATTCAACCATAACAAGATATCTATGATGATGAAACATCAAGACTGAAAAATGAAAACCAACCAAATCTGTTAAGTAATTTCAATATTAGAGCCCATCAGATTCTGGGTGAAATAGGATTCTCGGACTTCGTTATCTTGGAGATTGTCTTTCGATGACATCTGCTATGAATTAAGACTCTATAAATAAGATGAGGCAAACTGAAGGTGATGCTGTTCTGTTTCTAAAAGACCTTAAGCCGCTGCTTTTATCAGCTGAAACAGTGTTGTCACAAAAAAGTTCAGTTTAGTTTAAATATAATGAATCTTGAGTAAAGGAAACAGTTTTAGTGTTTTCTATGCATTAAGCTACTGGTGAGGATGATGACGTACCTGGAGATGGGCTTGAAGAATCGGAGGGCGTTCCAAACCTGCAGGAAAACAACGGAAAATAAACTTAGCACAACATAAAGAATCATCAATTTCCTTCCTTACAAATACAAACAATGTTGTGACTTTTAGACAATTTAGATGCTCAGCAAGTTTTTTAATGCAACAACATCATCTAAAGAATCTCAGATGAAATTGCTTGTTCCTGTCATTTATTTTAAATTTTCCAAAATCCCAACACTTTGTCTTGTGAAAGAAATGACAGAAAGGAAGAACAAGGTGAATTAGAGGTCAACCTTGCTGCACGTATGGCCTTCTTGCTCTCGGCTGATGCTGGAAGGTTGAAACGCTCAGCTCTTTTCTGTAGTCTCTGCTCAATAAAAGGTAAATATTAAACACATTTTGTTTTCTCTCTTTCACTGAAGGTTTCACTGTGACATACAAACGAGCTGAAATAAAAGTTACAGGAAATTAAACAAGTAGAAGTTTCAATCAGGAGAATATGTCACCCTAGTCCTATGAGATGTTCATATTTCATAGGACTGTTTAGGTGCAGTAACACTCAACAAAATGTTTCCACATTGTCATAATTAGTGTGTAGAATTTTGAGGAAAGAGATTAATTCAATGCGGTTTGGAATTAGGTTGTAATGTAAAAAAATATGGAAAAAGTGAAGCACTGAATACTTTCCAGATGCTTCGCAAATTCAAAATGTTATAAACTTGCATTTCTCCATGCTACTGTAATATTTAGTCAGTTGTACAGAGTCTATCAACAGCATATGTTCACTTATAGAAAAAAGGGGAAAGAAGAAAAGCAGTGTCTAATTTCAAAAATGAAAAAGAAAAGGAATTATTGATCTACTTGAGGTGAAAACCAGTCAGACGTACTTCACTGGCAGATAAGGGAGGGCTTATTTTCACCACCTTCTTCTCAGCAGGCCTGAAAAAAATAAATTAGAATTACTAAAACAGGACCTGCATGTTTTCAAGAAAGTTTTAATAATAAAAAAATAATATAATACAAATAAAAACACATGTTTCTTCCTCATTGTGGAAGGCAAAGTTAATAAAAGCCATTTTGTTTGAACCTATGGAAAATAAGGAAACCAGAACCAAATTAATATTGCCAACTGATTAAAGAAACACTTACGGCTCACTCTCAATCACTTCAGAACCATTGTCCACTTTTATGGTATCAGAGCTCTCCACTTTACCGAAGTCCTGAAAATAAAATGCGAACCTTAATATTTAACAAACTTATAGCACAGCAGTATGAAATGTGAAGTAAAGGAGCAGTTCTTTTACCACAGAATCCTCAGCCAGCACATCATCAACATCCACATCTTCTTCTGTTGTCCAACATGTGAAAGGAAGACATTTCCAACACAAAAACAGAAATAATATCAAGTTTTTGTGTTGGGATGCCATAGAAGACAGGAAACAGAAGTTAAAATAAGTATTTGCAACTCTTACTGTTAATCTGGTAGATATTGTCTTTCTTACATTTGTCTTTTAAACTTATCGTACTTAAGGTGAATCTTAATTTTTCTATGAGTAACAAACAAAAGGTTTTTTATAATTCTACATCACGAGATTTACTTTAACTCACCCCTCAAAAAATTGAATAGTAATATTGCAATGCCATGTTTTCTAGTTGTAACCCAGTAAACACTTTTGCAGCTGGTAAATATAGGTGTTTGAGCAGTACTCAGCCTCACCGTGCTCCTCCAGGTAGGCCTGGAGTCGGGCGATCAGGTCTCCTTTGTTCCCCTTGGTCTCCAGACCTCGGGCTTCACACTCCTGCCTCAGTTCAGCAAGCTGCACAGCACAAACAAACACAACCCGTTACATTTTCCCTGGTCTTTATCGTTCGTAGTGTAATGAAAAAAAGAAAAAAGTTATATCGAGAAATATAAACTGTAAACAAAAGAAAGCAAAAGAAGAGCAGTAGTAAAGTATATTTCATTGTTCAAAGGAGTGGGTAGAAAAATAAACTTATTTTTACAACCACCCCTTTTACATCAATAGCATCATCCAATAAATTATTATTCATGTTGACCTGGTAATAACAGTCTTTCTTATCCACTGTAAATAAGTTATAGGAGAGATTTTTGCCAGTTTTAAAATCTTCATAACTGGTCAAAAATACTTATACATTAAAAAGACACACAATATATTTTCTTTGCAAGCTTGAAACACAGTTAGGCTGAGATGAGTTGGTATAATATGAGTACAAACTCTACCTTGAGTCATATGACATATATCATATTCTGATTGTAACAAACCTTATAAAAAACAATATAAGCTTTTCTATAATAGTTAACTTGCTAAAACTGCACAAAAACTTAAGTTTTGAATCACA